TCCTTTTGCCTATTTATGTGTTTTTATACCACATGAGTAGCACAGAGTCCAGCTCCTCGAAACCACTGGACACACTCTGATTCTCCTGGTTCACTGTTTCTAATTGCCTGTTGATGACAGCCACAGGCATTACCTTTATGTGAAGACAACAATTGTGTTACCAAAATAACCTTAAATTCCTTTACATTTTGAGATGTCATATCTCAATTGCCCTCAAAGGAAACAAAGCTAGATCTAGAGGGTCTACAGATGCAGAGTAAATGTAACAAAACTAGAAAAGCCTTTTTTTCAAAGTAAATTTAAAGAACTCCAGCACTCCTATGCATGAGCAGCACCTTTCCTTAATGAATCGGAATTACTACAGGGATGAAAAAGAATCAAATCACCATTTAGTTTCTTTCCAGAAGAAAATAAAAGTTGCATATTTGAAAGATAGCTAGCTTTCATTAATTCTTAAAATTTGTACCTACAGGGGGGAAAAAAAAAAAAAAGGAATCTATTTTCCATCTACTCAGATTCTATTTCTCATAGCTGCTCCTCTACATAAACCCATTCACCTGCAAGTGATTTTCTACACCCTACTGAGACAATAAACAAGCACAGCCTTTCAAATTCATTTTTGAAAATTAGATGGCAAAATATTCATGTCCTGAGAAGGACAAGATTGCCTCCCTATTGGTTTATGCAGTGAAAATTAAATATTTTTCCTTCTTACCATACACTCTTCCAAGTCCCTGTAATTGCCCATCATTCCGCCATTGCCCATATTCTGAACATGATTAGAAGCAGAGAACTTCACAACTACCAAGTTTGGTTCAACATCTCAGATTACAATGACTATGGAAGCAGCTTGACAAGCATCGGTCTAGCAATCATCAAGCAGCTATAAACCCACACTTTTATGTGCACTGTAATGTCATTCTTCGTCAATGAGGGAAAATGAATAACTAAAATGTCACAATGCTCAACTAACATGATGGATATTTCATCAGTTGGACCACTGTGTAACAAAACACAAGTTAACAAGACTTTGTTGGAGTTTCCATGATTTGAGTAAATCCAGCTGCTCCTCCAATTCATTAGCAGAGCACATACACAGGGAACTCGAAGATGCAGGCTCCTGCTGCTTTTCCAACTTCTCATTTTAAAATAATTAGCATTCTTGGTGCATGCACATGCACGAGTACATTGCACAAGGGTGGAAAGGCTGCCCACTTTACGCAGTGGAAAAACCCACAGCAATTCACTGAATAAAGTTATATTACAATTGACCCAAAGAAAAGAAATATACCAACTGCTATTCATCATCAACAAGGTCTCATATTTTTTTCCTGCTTTGAAAAAAACACTGCGGGGAGGGAGGGGGACATCCTCTGCTCCCTGCTAAACAAAAATCAGCATTTTCAATGCACACAATTAGCAGTGCTTTAGGTCTGTGTCAGATTCATCATCAGAGCTAATTGATTTCAGGCACAGGCCAATCTCACCACCCAACATCATTATGCAGAGGTAGGTGGTGAGAAGGAAAACAAATCTCTGATTAAGAAAAGCATGAGGGGGAGGCACACCATTTACAAACTGCACACAGCATTCCCTCTCAGAGCAACAACAGTCTTTAAAAACATTCTGAAGGGATGCCCCACAATCAAATTTTATAGGACCACTCCAGAAGACCCCAAATTGGAGATTTTCAAATAGACCAAGCTGGCTCAAAAGGCACACATTCATCTTTATCTCAGGAGAGAACACAGTGGGGAGAAAATTTAATGATGTTTCCTGGCTTATTTCCCTGCACCCCCTTCCACCTCCACACACAAAGCAGAAGCGTGCTCCGGGGCAGGGAGGTCTGTAGAGGAAACTGTGGTAGCACACAGCATAAATATTTTTGCTTTCTAGAAATACAATCGCAACTAGCTAGCTGCATTACAGTTTCAATGCAACTCTCTGTATGTGTCGGTGGGAATATCCCAGGTCAGCATTTGTCAAAGGAAAGACACATGCACCCCTGTTCTCTTGGCATGAAAAGCATATGTTGCCAGAGCAGGAGGCAAAGCCCACACTGGAGTCCCAGGAGATAAAAGGCTGGAAACGTCCCTCCTCTCCCACATGCACAAACCAGTTACTCTCCAGACCAGGTTTTGTGCTGAGCTAGATTCTGTGTTTATGTTCATCCTTTCTAACACTTTGAAATACAGTTCTGTAATTTGTTATTCTCATCAACTGACTGCCATCTCAGTCCATGGCACAGAGCTACTTTCAGCACGTTAAAGCGGAGCGCACCGGTAGGGCTGGCTCCATGGACACCGACATTCACCAGCCCACAGAGCCTGTAAAGTGCCCAGCTGCAAGCACTGGCACATCATCATCACTACAGATGATTATATTTTTAGAACCATCTAATTAAGCCCTATTTTCCTGGCTTGAGACAGCTCTATGGTAGCTCACCTGTTCCAGCTTCAGCTCATTAATTAGAGACCTCTTCCTTCAAAGGCAGCCAGGTGCTCCAGCCAGTGCCAGGCTCAAGGTATTGTCCATCAACACCTTTCTAACAGGAACACTGCAACTGCTTTGGGGCAAGTCACATTATACATATAAGAACTGCACCCATCTCCTAAATGTTTTTCATGTAAACATGAATAAATGAATAGTTGCTGGTTTTCTCTTTTCCCTTGTTACTCAACAGAGGATGTGAATACAACATTTGGGAAGAAAATTCCTATTACATTTGGTGTCTATTTCTACTCTATGATCACTTGCACACTACTTCCTACTGTAACCTACTGTATATTTTTAGCCTTTTTTCACCTGTACATAGCTGTGAGAATAAAGTATTTATGAACTGCATTTTGACAGACACTAAAGCTTTAACTACCTTTTCTTTCAAGGTTGTTGTCCTTCTGAACTCATTTTAATCGCATTTATTCGCAATACCTTAGGAGCAGCAGAAAAAATTAAAAAAACCAATACAGCTGGGATAAACAACCCTGCTGCATGAATTTGCTGTCTCACTGAACCAAGGAAGCTCCGTGAAGCATTGGCATGTTTCTGCATCAGACTGCAAGCGAGCAACAACTGTTACAGCTTTATCGTGGTACAATATTGCTGACTGCTTCAATTAAAGTATTACGTTCTTTATTTAGATACCTCCTGCAGCCCCAACCATACAGCAGATGAGCACTTTTGACAGTTGATACTCATACCCCAACACCTTTTCCCCAGCCTTCAGGGAGGCGTATAGCAAGTGGAACACGATTTTCATCCAGTTATATATTCCCACTTCTTTTATAGATCTGTGAAAACAACAAGCTTCCCTGAATGTTCACTTCTTTGCCTAAAAAAGAAAGCTAACCAGTTAACTGCTTTGCAGGTGGATTAGTCAATATGGTGCAGTACTTCAGCAGTAGAAGCACATTTAAGGTACGTTTTAATTTACTTTTACTCCAACACAAAGGTTGCCAATGAGTAACTAGCTGCCAAACTGCAGCCTGCGCCCCAGACCAGACACCCCGCAGTGCCCTCCGCTCTCACCCGCACAGCCGAGGCGGAGGCTCCCCGGCCGCGGACAACCACAAGCCCGGAGGCACAGCCTTCATCGCGCTGCCCCACGAGTCCCCGGCCCCGGGGAGCCGGCCGCAACGCGCGCACAGGCTGACCGAGGCGAAGCATCAACCAAAGGCAAGAGATAAATGGCCGATCACAGGGCACCGAGGTACAACGCCCTCGGTGCGGAAGAAATACCAAGCAGATTACGAATAACGCCCACCCCAAAGCTAAAGAAAGACGCATCATTTTTGTCGCTGCGGAAAGGCACACTTACCAGTTTTGCTCATTCCCTTCCATCGACGGCAGGCCAGACCTCACCAGAGCACAGGGCCTTCCACCCCACAACATGGCACCCAGCCCCCACCTCACTGCCAAAGCCCTCCCTCAGGGCTGGGGCTCCCCACACTAATGGCCCGAGGGCACCAATCCCCCGAGGAGGGCCTCAACCGCCCCAAGGAGCCTCAGCTGTGGCCGCCAGCCGCACACCTGGGGGTTGCAGGCATCCCCGCCCCAGGCCCCTCGCACTCTCTTTCCCACACAAACCAGCATCCCACAGGCATGCAGGTCCTGCCCCGAATAACCGAATGATTTCTGGACGCACCACGGCTTGGGAGTCTTAAAAATGGCTTCTGCAGAGCACGGGAAAGCAAGCGGTCCAGAGCAACGCTCTGCTGTGAGCGAGCGAGCAGTGTTTTCTCCCCTTCTCTGCCCCAACGTGAGGAACCCGGTCCCATTTGACCACTCAAATGCACACGGAGCATGGAAATCCAAAACACAAATCTGTTTGTGCAATACACTTTTATTTTTATTTTTTTTAACCTTTGCAGTCATCTTGGAGTAATCATCATGTAAACAGTAGGATGGGATGGGATTACATTGAGTCGTACGCAAATGGCTCTAGAACACCTCAACGATTATGACAAGGCATTATAAATAACTTCTCTTAATAATATATATTTGCCATTTTCAGTACATTAAAGAGCTGCCGCTTATCTAGGATTAGCTAGGAAGTAGTTTAAATTGTAACCTCCGAGAAACAGGTCTCCAAATCTGAAAGTCTTTCTAAGGTTCACTAGCTCCGTAACATCTATGTCACAGGTTAAGCATAAGACTACTTGGATCAGAAGTGTTTTCTTTGTACGAGTTTTACTTGATCATTGCACAAAGCCCTATTATTTTCACTCCACCTTGGTATTTTGCAGAACTTCAAGAAAAGCTTCAGTTCCCGTTCTTCAAGTTTTTATCACCTGTATGAAACCGGTTTCTATCATTAAGGATAAGTCAGCTCAGAGATGGACACAGTAAGCAGTCTACCTTAAAGACAACAGTTCAAAGTAGTTCTAGCCCACAGACTGCCCAATAAAGCATAGTCAAAATACTCTAACACCTCTGCTACTGTATATCCCCTCCTTGCTGAGATAACCGTATAGATTTATATATATCGTACCATATGTATGGTACTTCTAGAATATGGAGATTATTTATTTAAGCAGCCTCAGGCACATTCTTAAAACATTAATGTCTGCAAGGCACCTCCCACTCCCTTGACAATCAGTTTGTGGACTTGTTTTTAGACACACAACCAACAAAAGCTTGCTAATACCTAATTAATTAATTTCAAAAAAACCCCAGAAGTTACCAAATACTTCAAAGATATACCTGAAAGTTTTTTAAATAATGGGAGATTAACTGCAAATAGCACATAATCAAGTCAAATCATTTTCTTATTACTAGGATGTGTAATGCATAAATATATGAAAATAAAATTCACAGTCAGCTTTAAAACTAGAATTCAAGTTTGGCTAATAATTCTTAACTTTTATATGTATGTTAATTTCTAAATATAACAGAACAGAGGCAGTATTATAAACCACAAGTACAGGTAAAATAGTATCACTCAAAGTTTATGAAAGAAGTAAGCTTGATAGAAAATTCCTTTTGTAACCAATAAATACAGCCACCTGAGTGCACTTCCACAGGCTTTTCACTTAGGGGGAATCCAAATCAACTGCTAAGAGACATTGAGTAGCATTTTGAATGTTAGCAGCAGCAGCGGTGTAGCTGTGGGCTTTGCTTGTTCTGACTTTGTGAATTGCTAGAGAATGAAGCAGAACTCAGTGTGTGGTGCATTAATTTTCCTTTGCATCTAAGCTGGCCTCTTCGCAATCTCACAATTCGGCTGGGGGTCAGGGGACAGACATCAGCTGACACTTAACTGAGCAAACCCAATCAGTTTCACTTCATCGGGAATCTCGGTGCCGTCGCAGCCGGAGGCCTGCAAGTACAAACAGAAACGTTCAGTATATCACACTACAAAGGAGGGTTTGGCAGCCAGGTTATAAATTTTCCCCGTATTGCATAGTCAGCAAACAGCTTACTTGAGGGAAAGCTTTCAGACTGCTCGGTGTATCCTCTGCCAGGGTCAGCCAACTGCAGCCTTAATTTTAGCAAACTCTTTTAATCAATATTAAAAATTATGAAAAAAATACTGGGAAATTAACAGTTAGAGACTCAAATTCTTTAACCCAACCTTTCCAGACTGGAGCCAAATTTGCTTTTTCATGCGAGCATGGTGTTTTCACTTGTGAAGCACCAATAACCTACACATACAGAATTCACCTTTTACCGTTGTGTTGTGGACACAAATGTCTCACAAGTCCAGCTGTCAAGTCTGTTTGGAATACCAATCCACTGAATTTTTAAAGAAGAGATTGAAGCAATCTACGGAGAGTAATAGTACTTGCAAAAGGACAGCTCCTTTCTGGCAGTACAATGTAGTGCCTAAAATTATATGGTTGAGATTCTTCAGTAAAGCCTGTCACAGTACAAACTGGCACAAGTAATCAATTCATTTTTCACAAATAACTGTAAGAATATAAAACCACCTTGCTCAGGACTGAACTGTTACTTTAGGTCCGCTTTAGAAAAATTACACATGCTGTAGGCAAAATTTTTTGATATTTTGATTTTTAAATACAAAATTTGCTTCTGTACGACAGAAGTGACTACATTTTTAATGAAGTTTTTTTATGCCCTCTTCACCTGTGTGGTAGATAAATCAAAATAGAAAACAATTGGATGAAAAGTCTGTAATGGTAAATTACTTCTGACAGATACCTTCAGACTTTTTTGGCATATCCTCCAAAAAAAGTCAGAACAATTGGTTCACCCTATAAAAATGCTCTTGATCCTTTTATGCATTAGCAGCAGTTGAACTTTAGTAGAACTGGTTTGTGTATATGTACTATAAGGAAAAGAGCTTTCAGATTGCGCACGTGAGGTGCACCTAGTGGCATTATCCACTGAGTTTTCATGACCAAAAATAAACTCACTCAATACTTGTGGAAGCATTCATCGGGCTACTCCTTCAAATTTACTTTGATCAGACACAGAGAACAGAAGTTCTGTCTTCAGAGAGTATTTCATAGGTCTTATTCCACTGAAGCAGCAAGTTAAAAGTCTGAGATGATCACCATTGGTTACTATTAAGATATCTCAATGTTTTTTGGATTGGGAATTTACCAAATAAATGGAGTTTGAATTTTGCACTTAAAATACAATGATAAAAAGAGCTAGTATTCTTAACATCATTCTACAGTTTAGCTAGGTATCAATCTCCTCAAAGCCACGTTAAGTAACATATCTAGATACACAGAGATTTTAAAATGCCTTCCTTATCAATATTGTCTAATATTTAACGCACCTGGAACCCATTAGCTTACATTTTGTGCTTAACATAAATACAACTACTATACACAAACTGCAACATACAAGAAAAGCTCTTAGTATGTTTAATTCCCTGTTTAGTGACTGAATGTATTCTTTCATTAATGGTTTTTTCCTCCCTTTTTCGTAAGAAAAATCCTTACATAAAATGCAAATTATGCTGCACAATAATTTTGTGTTTCCTTGAGCGTTGCCAAGAATACTTGTGTATTAAAGCAGCCTCTTTCCCAAAGTGTGGACAGCTGGATCCTGCAGGGAAATCATCATTCTGCGTTAGCCAAGACAACTAAGGGAGGTTTAATACTATATATGTTCTGCAGAATGACATCATTGTAAGATCAAAGATGCACTGTTGAAAAAATATGCAAGAGGGAGAACAGACCTTAAAGACAGATTCATCCAGACACCTCACTTTAGTAACTTTCTTAACCATTTTGGCAATAATTAAAGACAAAAACAGTTAAGACAGAAGTTGTTCTTTTTTCCCCAAAGATGAAAATGCTTGCTGTTTGAACAGAAATATTATATGCCAGCAAAATATCAGCAAAAGCAATCTGCAAGCAATGAGATAATAAGCAGATTCCTTGTCCACAAGTAGTAGTAACTAATCCTAGACTGAAGAGCACTTTAGGATTAGCTATATTCAGACTTTGAATCCCCATGAAATATTTACCCACAAAATGTGTTTTAATCAAGTTAATCAAGTGCTCTCAAATTCAGTGAGACCTTGCTAAGAGGTAACAAAGACTCAGTAGGGCATACAAACAAATGACAGAGTTCTCTTAGGCAACAATTCATTTAGCTACTCCACTACACCATATAGAAACAGGCAGAAACAGAAAATATATTAAAGCAATCCAAGGATAAGAATAAATTAGGATACTTCTTGTGGTTATGTTCTGTTCCCGGGAAATAGGGAACTAATGCAGGAAACCTAGGTTAAAAATATCAGGAAGAAACTTAGGTTAAAAATGACATCAGGAATTGTTACCTAGCCAATGGAACTTACCGCGAGAAGGGACAAAGACATTGATTTTGGATTGTCTATTAATTCCAGTTATGGTAAGTAGTAGGATTATAACAGCATTCACTCACTGGAATCTGAAATATCACTATAACTAACTGCACCCCAGCAATAAACCCAACTGAATCACGGAAATACCCTAACCTAAATTTTCAAGTAGATTTGTTTTCAACTTATATAAACATTAACTGGATACTACATTTTGCTATTTCAAGCCTCTATTTTAAGTGTGTGAACTAGAAACCCAGACTTCTACAGAGCCTCTGGAGTATCTATATATCTAAATGCTCTCGGTCAGATGCTGTTGACTATACAATAAAGCTAAGTCAGACGTTTAGACAGCAAGAACGCAGATCAGCTGCAAAAAGAGAAGCATCAGCCTTTAAGCTATATATAGATAGTAAGGGCTACAGGAACAAAACAATTTGAGTTACGTATCCTTACTCCCCCACCCCAACCCCTTCCCAAAATAAGTGTGTAGGTTCTGGTGACTCTACTGGACTGTAGAGGAAAAATGAGTCCAAATGATTTGGTCAGTTTACTCAAATCTGTATTTAAGAAATGGCATGGGAAGAACAATCCTGAATTAATGCATTATTATCAACTAGGTCACTTACTCTCTAAAAATGGCTCTCTACAGCCCATCTGAAGCAGCTGCTTTTATAAACAAAGCTGTGATTCTGGAGACCTACTTATCTAACAGACATTCAAGTCTAGTCTTTCATACACAGCTGAGTCACTCTCAGCAAGGGGTGCTGAAAACTAATTGGTAAGAGTTTGGTATTTACATAGCTAATCATTCAATGGCTTTAGGTATGTAAATTTTTCAACTTAATTTTAGCAAGAAATAAAAACAAATACAGCACATCAATTCTGAATTAAGTTTTTGCAATGTAAAGTTATTAATATTAAATGAGAACTACCATGATAGCATCAGGATTGAGCAAAATTAGGACCCATGGTCCAGGGCAGCACAGCTGACAAAATGCAGCACAGAAAACAGTCCCAGGCACAAAACTACAACTGATGTATACAGAAGACAGAAAGAGGTGATGAGGGAGAAACAGTAATGAAATACAGTGCGAGCAAGATCAACTTGCAAGTGTGGATGGTCAACTGAAAGAAGGTTGAAGGGAGGAACTAAGGAGAAGCAAGCAGTGGAGAGGGCGACCTGCATGCAAGAAAAATGGTGGCAGGCGTTGGAAAAAATGGGATTGGAACAAAACATCCGTTAGCAAAGGACACTTCAGCCAGGGCAGAGCTGAGGCAGTGAGGGTGGAGAAGGGTTAACCTAACAGCTACAGTTTGCTCTGCTTTACCTGTTTCTACAATTCTTCCCAGGGGTTTTCTCCCTGCAGTTTCTCACCTAAACCTCAGACTTTCTCAGAACTCTTGTGAATGAACCGCCTTCCCCCTGCACAGTTACAGAGCTGTGTGAGCGTACATATCCCTAAATGTCCTGTCAAAATAGGGTTTAGGTTACTTTTCTCACAGATGGCAATTTCAATCATCTTCTCTGTCAACACATTTATTCAGCAAAATAGCTGTAAATGAGATAAAATCCAGACTCTGTGTGAATACTGTGATAATTAGTTTGTTTCTTCCCTTCGTGCTTTTACTTACCAACTTAAAAGTCAATGTTTTCAAGGCCTTTGGATCATCTACTATCTTCTGTAAGTTAGCAGCAACTGTAAAATAAAGTATGAAAAAAAAATAATTTACAGAAAATTGCATTCAACATGACATCAAGCCTCGTGCTGAATCTTCTACTTCATTCTACACACATACATGTCTCTGAATTACCACGTGGATCATTTAATCACTCTCTAGCTGTCGTTTGAAAGTCAAGAGGGCAGTCAGGCTGCTGTAAATGCTGCATCCTTTCTTTTGCAGTCACTGATACTTTCTGACTACGTTAACTGACTCAGGCGAAAAATCTGCCTGAAAACCAGGTGACAGAAAAAACCCCTACTAATTTTCAGCTTAGTCTATTCCACAAACAATTAACAATCACACAAATGCAAGTACAGGGAAAATGGGAGAATCACACAGGCAAGGATAATCTGATGGCTGTCATGATTTCCATCATGTTTCCACTACAGCCAGGGCCACCATCAGCACAAGTTTTTAGGAGAGGGCTGAGCTCACTATACCCCCTAACTTCTGCTTCTCCCGGTTTTATGTGTGTGCTTCTGTCCCTTTTTTGGGCCGGCATGAGTACCCACACTCTTGGTAGACTGTTACAACTCACTACCAAAAGGAAAATGAGCAAAAATAAGAGTCATACAAAAGGAGCTGATCTTCAAACTACTCTCTCAGTAAGCATGACCGACATTTAACAGCAATAAACAACTTAACTAAATCTACAGAGCCCAAGTGTCCAGAGAAGGAAGCTGTATGCCGTACCAGAAGTAGTAGGAAGGGAATAATTTACTCCTGGAAAACAGAGGAGAAGGCAGGAAAATAATAAAACCTTTTCCTATCAAACATCTAAGTCTCACTTTTAATTGGTCTATGTTTTACATTATTGCTACCATTAATCTTGACCAAAAAATTGTCTGCTTTCAGCTTTGTACATTAACTAAACTTGCTCCCCAGCTCTGCACAGTCATAGATCCTGAGCTAACTCAGACCAAATCATGGAGAGCCTTTGTTCAACACTGACTTATGAGCGCAACAGGACATCAGCATGAGATAAAGACTCCACGCTTGGCAGAGCTGTTTAGGCAAGATTTTGAAAAGGAAAACAAACAAGTATTAAGTAGCAGACATTTCTTAGTATGCTGAGTAGGTAAGTACCATAAAGCAGAGAAGCAAGAAACCAGATGTTCTCCATAAATAATACTTTCCACAGACTTCATAAGGTGGAAGATGCACAGCAAACATTTGCATGTTGATTGTCCTACTGCTACAGTCAGGTTCCTACTTCCTCCATCTTCTAACATCACGAAGATAAGATTTTCATTCCTACTGTACCTGATCAAATATGATTCACTGTGTAGTAACAGAAATTGGCCTCACAAAGGGAAGAACAGTATTTGGCGAGGGAATTTAGAGAAGTAAACAAGTAGGCCAATCTACCACTGTTAAGTGCACTTTAACTGGGGGGAGGTCTGTGTCTTATTTTCTTTATACCACTGAAATGGCACCAAGGATTGTTTATACACTTGCAACAAATTTGACCAGGGATGAAAAGGTGTTTGAAACTAAAAACAAGACTTAAAAGCAAGAACAAGGTACATTTTGTAGAGAATACTTTTTGGAAAGAGAAAAAATTAACCTTCACAGTTAAATGAACTCAACTGCAGGCACTACAACAAAAAGTCTTTCTGTTTTTAAAGCTTCATTATTCACAATCTTCTTTATTCTAGTCATTACAAACAATTTTTATTTTAGTCGCACAATTCGCTTCCACAATCAGTAAGTCAATTTTATTGCAATACCTCCTACCTGATAAAATACATGCAAATACAGATAATGCTTTTTGTTACAATTAATACTTAGAACCTCATACGTAGGCAAAAAGGAGTGTTCAGCCTCATAGCTCCTGAAGCCAGGATAGAATAGCTTCAATTTTTTATGTCCTAAAAATCTGTAAAATAGGATCATGCACTCAGGTGCAGCTCTGGCTTATCCAAATCCCAGTAAAACATGTCTTGGAAAAAGAACGAACAAATTCTCCAGTTAGTGTTAGCTGGCTTCACCGAAATGGAGACAGTGCTACAAAACCAGATAGGAGCTGGGTTCTAAATCCAACCATTTCTAACTTCACCTCTTATAAAATGTTACGAAAAGATGAGCTTCAAATGCATGCTTGTCTTCAGGATGGACAGCCTTTCCTTTAGTGTTGAGCAGCTGTGGAACAACTAAGGCAGGTCAATATGCTGCTTGGCTATTTTGCCTGAATGCACAAACTTCCAGCTGCCTTTAGGCAAAGTTACTGGCAAAGTTACTATTCCCACATTTGCAAACAGCAGCCCATTATCAGCAAGTGTTTTAATGAATTATCATACAGTGGAAAGCACTGAGGACTTCACAAGTAGTATAAAAATCTTAAAAAAACCCTAACCTTCCTGCTGATTCTTTACCAGAGAAGAAATTAAAATTTTCAAAGCAAAAATAGCAAAATATAAACTAGCAGTATTTGTAAATAGTTATTTCTAATTACTTTTTTTTTTTAATTAAACACCATAACAGAAAGGAGTGATGTTTTAGATGGATGTCATTCTTCAAGAAAACTGCTTTTCAAAGAACAGTGCTCATTAAAAGGGCTCCAGGGACACAGTTTTATTTGTTCACTTTTCTTTACTTTTAATATAAGCACAAGCCAAAAACCTTTACATATAAAATGCTAGAAAAACATTCGAAGCAAGAATATTAAATACGCTTTATTTTTGCTTCTCTGATGGGCCATAACTAGAGTGTGACACATTTAATCAAAGAGAAGATTAGGAGAATCTAAGGGATTTAAGATGTTTTCAGGCTACGCTTGAAAATGAGAAAGCAGACCTGCAAAGAGTTCATAATATTAGAATACAAGTTTACATAAAAAATAGGCACACCTGCAGTTTCCTACAGAGACATCTTTTCAATTTCAGTTATACATATTCAGCATTTTCCAAGTAAAATTAGCGTTTTACCTGTGACTTTTGGTACTTTGTGTTTTACATTTTCTGGTCCTTACAGAATGGCAGTAAAAATGATTTTGCCAAAATAATGTCATTAATCCCATTCAGTGAAGCCACCACACCGTGAATGCGAATCCCCCCAAAGACCTGCTCTTTCTGCAATATCTGAAAGCATACATAATTAACATCAACATCAAATACGTACATGTAATTACCTAGCAAGACCATACAGTCTTGCTGGTATCTTTTTAATTTTTCTAGCTCCTTGCTTTTGTTTTGTTAGGTCTTGTCCTTATTTAGACTGCAAGGCCAAAAATTAGAGGCAACTGTCTGAATTTGGATACCTAAGTCTGCATTTCAGGAAACTACTTAAAATAGGGGTGTTGTTTTGTTTGTTTGTTTTTTTAAGGGATGAGACAATTATTATCCTTTTCACCTTAGTGCAAGCCAAACGTTCTAAGACCTGAGTAAGTGCATGGTACTGGGCATGTCTTTCTGCACCTAAACACCCTGAAGATCTGGGCTCGACTGGCTACTGGAATCTTTTGGGGCCTGATATAGTCAGATAGGAAAAACAGCTGTAACCCATGAACTGCAGGTGCCCATGGCATCTCTAGTTTAGTTAAGTTCCTTTAGAAATAGAGCCTGCAGCACAGGCAGAAGCCATCCAAGCAGTTGAAAGTCCTTCCTGAAAGCCAGCCTGCAGTGCCTTCCAATTATTTCTCCAGCAAATTTGGAGATCCCATCTTAACTACAGTAAAGACATCCTCGAAATTACAAGTAGAACAACGTATTCTAGAGTGGAATACTCATGCTACTTTAAATGCAATTTAAGACAACAGTTGCATTAAATATAACTGACTTACCACTCTTAAGAATATGCTTCTAAAAATGTGTGACTATAGCTAAATCTACACAGTCTGGACCACTAAGTATGTAAAGTCTCCTGAAATATACCAAGAAATTCACGTCGCACGTAGGCTCCCAACAGTAAATAATGTTCTCACATACAAGCAGTTGCCGCTGCTGTTCAGCCCTATTCAGAATTACTGATTGCATCAGGCAAGAAAGAACAACAACTACTTTGAAGTGGAACTGCTGTTAGACTTTACTGATGAACGTCTCCCCCAGGTACTAAATTTAAGCTCTTTTCATCAAGGAAAATTATTTACTAGGTTGAGACTTACTAACCCTCCTAGTATAGTTCACGTACAAAGTTTTAATTGCGTTTAAATAAGGAAAATGAGGTTAAAGTTTCTAAAGGCGGATGAAGGTAACCACCTCTGCAAACACTAAGGAGGAAAATCACCATCCCACTCTCACTGCCTCTCCCTCCCCCACGATCCCAACAATTCTGCTGTTGCAAGCCCGTGAACAAAGTCAATTTGATACAGTAATGTTCTCCCTCAAGTGAAAAGGGGTTTCACATTAGGAGTTTCCAGAGAGGTAAGAATCGCTCTCTCTAGAGATACTTAAATTATTTGGAAGTGGAGAGTGTTGTAAAATATATGTCTCTGGATTCTACTTTACGCCTTATCTCTAAGTATACTACAGTTCCTACTGACAAAGCCATTTTTCTTTGAAGTACTCTAAAGTCATGCCTTGGATGTTGTACTTCTGAAATTCATAGTGGCTTAGCAGCACTAATTGACAATTGCAAATCCTGTTGGGAATTCACTGTTTCTACACGGCCTGGATATACTACACTCAACTTTATTTTGCAGAGTGTTTTCTCAAGAAATGGCCATGCTCCTATAAAAGTCAGAAGAAGAAACATGAACAAGATAACTGCAGGAAAAAATTAAGTGGTAATGGAAAAACCTTTGCCAGCAGTAACCTCAGGTAAATAAAGTATACTTCAAATCATGCCTTGCAGCAAAATCCCTCTTCAAGTGTTAGCAGCAGTTAGCACAACAGGCTTTTTGTTGTTTACAACAATAAATGAGGTGCCGTTCCGCTTTCTTCAGAAGGCTTCTGAAGGACATATAATCAACTTATGTACCACAAATCATTCCAGGTTCTTTCGCAGGTTTTCTCAGTGACAAATGGTTGTGCCACTC